TATATATATATATATATATATATATATATATATATATATATATATATTTGTGTGTGTGTCAAGTTTTGAAGAATATTGAAAACAGAAGCTAACTATTGTGCATTATGCCCGCAGGTTATGCAAAAGCATCAAAAGTATTTTGCTGTATGTGATGCGAATGGACAATTATTGCCTTATTTCGTTGCTGTAAGTTCTTTCCATTAATTAGTCCTCTACAATAAGTAGCTTCATGTTTTGAAATTTTTATTTATTAAATGAAATGGTATTTTCTCAGGTTGCAAATGGAGCAATTGATGAGACTACTGTGAGGAAAGGAAATGAAGCTGTGCTCAGGTGTTCTTATCTCAACTTATCGTGTCATATATATTTTATTGAAAAAGAGGTGCTCAGGCCCCTCCTGGGTTTGGTGTCCTTGACGAGTTATCAAACATTTATTAGTTTTTGGTTGTATTAGATGGCTTTTGTCAAGGGCAAACTCTCCTTACTGTTTAAGCTAACAGTAAAGATACATTAATGGTTTTATCTTTCTAGCACAGTGCTCCTTAGGCGTGAAGCTGAGAAAATACAGAATTCCACTCTAGTTTGTGCTGAAATTAACTTCATTTAGAAGAATGGAAGCAACTCTTGACTACTTGACTCAAAGATCTAATACCCTTAAATGGTAAATTTCATCTTAAAACCAATTAGCATTAGAGGAGGTTATCCAACAGATATAATCCAAACTCCGAGAATTGAGGCAAATATTGGAAAATAAGACTGATTTATTATTCTCAATCATAAAAAATACATTCTGATACTCTTTATTTGTAATAATCTAATTCTCCTAAAAAGGTAAATAGGTAAACTAGGAAAGTAAAATAAAATAAAAGATTATATATCTATTTCCTCTAATTAGAAAGATTCTAAAGATATTATCTCAAATTACAACATTTCCCCTCAAGCTGGATCACACAAGATTGTATGAACCAAGCTTGAAATAGTCAAACTCAATTGTAGAGAACGTCAATAAACCAAATTTGACAGCAATGGACGAGGATGAACTAGCACCATGAAACTTCAACTTGGACAGCAATGGACGAGGGCGAACTAGCACCATGAAATTTCAACTTGGACAGCAATGGACGAGGGAGATTTCCATAAAAAATGGATGATGACTTGCAGCAGCAAACAACAACAAACAACAAGAACAGATGAAGGGCCTCCAGTAGCGAACAACAACAAACTGTAGGGACTTAACTACCCTAAACAGCAACAAACCTTCAGAGACTTCACTGCCCTAAACAGCAACAGACCTGCAGGGATTACACTACCCTGCAGCGACACTAAAAGGCTAACAGCCACAAACCTGTAGGGACTTTAACCACCCTGAACAAACCTTAAGGGACTTAACTGCCCTAACAACAATGAACCTTTAGGGACTTAACTGCCCTGAACAGCAACAAACCTGTAGGAACTGAACTGTCTGCAGTGGCTACCAGCAACAGACCTATAAGGACTTAACCACCCTACAGCGGCTGAAACAGCAACAAACCTTCAGGGACTAACTACCCTGCGACGGCTGAAACTTTTCTTCCCCTCACGATGGAACGACATATGCACGTCAATGACAGAACGTGAAGGTGGAAGAACTGGTGAGAACTGATCCGTACTTGGAGACAAATCTGAAACCCCTAACATCGAACGAGCCAAATCAGCGGGCGGTCTCATAGAACAACTCTCAGTGAGCTGTTATAACAAAGCATTGGTAGAAACCAAAAAAACACCAAAGATTGGGACTTATGATGGCATCAAAAGGCTAAAGACAGGTTGGAGGTCCAAAGTTCTGTGCTGGACTACTCCAAAAAGGTGATACTTAACACTGTATCAGAAGAAGTACGGGCTAAACTCTAGCCCAAAAAGAAAGTTTTCTGCAGGGGCTGAAAAATATTTCCCCTCACGGCAAACAACGAGAACGACGACTAGTGCACTTCACAAGACACTCTCAATCTTGACCAAAGAAAATACGGCAACTTATGGAGGCAACAGTGACAAACTGCAGAGTTTACAACAACTGACTGCGGTGATGGCGACTGATTGCGCCAACGGCTAACTGCCGCTACGCCGACTGTGTTTTTTGCAGCGGAACGAAGCACTGTTGCTTGAGAAACATAAACGAAGTGAGAACCCATTGGTGATAGGGGGAGGAAAGGTCCTGGTCATTTGGTGGAGGCATAAACCAGAACGCATGCACCAAACCAGAACACAGAAACGAGAGGGAGGCCTGGCGATGCAGAAGCGTGTAGCGAGCAACGACAGCGTCGACGGCAGAGGCAACGGCCTTCTTTCGATACCATCCTTAATCGCTAATCGAAGACGAATTAAGAGGATCAGAAAGGAGAGACGAAAATAGATCTAAAATACGACCTAGGGTTTCGCGGAACAAAGAGAAATAAACTCCCCTTCATTATAGCTACCCGCTAACAAGGCTGATGAATTCTTGACTGAAACATTACAGCTACAGAAATAGACTCCCCTTCATGCCACAGGCCAACGTGGACATCACACTTGCAACAATGATGGTAGCAATGGCAGCTATGGAGGGTCATAACAGAGAGGAGGAGGTCCGGCGAGTCGACCGGAAGCGTCGCGGTGTGATTTCGACACCGGGACAGCGGCGCGTGACAAACATGCACACGAGATCTGACGGAGAGAAGAGGCGCGTGC